TGTTTTTAAATCCAGAATGAGTGGCAGATCCCATGGATAACTTGTTGGAAGTATCCATGATTACTGTTTTGAACTGAGCATCTCATGGCTGCACATCTGGCTCACTGGCCCAATTTTCCCTTCCAACACAGACCTAGAGATGGAATTGGTGCACACTTCAATGTGATAGAGCCAGCACCTGGCATCAGTCATTCTAAAGTCTGTCAGCAACAATTAGACATTCTGAGGCTTATTGACTAGTGTAAGGTTTGTCAAGTTCTAAATAAATCAGAAACAGTGCTGGAAATCGGTCCTTACACTCAGGCATATTATTTATATTCATTAAAAAGAGACTCATATTTACTACTCAATACTGGACATATGCTTTGTTCATCCTCTCCCATCCCTAAAACAAGCTATTTCTACATTATCTAAGTATTGCAGAATGAGTAGGTCAACATCAGTGATGAGGCCAATATGCAGATTGGTAGTCACAGTTGCCTTACTTGTTTCATAATTAAGTTTTGAATAAAATCTCTCATAACCTGCCAGTATTTTGCAAGTAAGAGTCTATCTTCTGTCTAGATCCAACTTGTTCTGGGCTGGATCTTAACTTCTCCATCATTTCCCATCAGTGTGCAGTGTGTATTTTCTAATTTAAGTATTCAGTAGCAACTTTTAAGGTTTGCTTAGTATGAGTTGCATTCCAGGATTTAAAAAGCTTGTCCTTCACACACTTGACTACAGAAAAAGAAAGCTAATGAAAATTTAATAAGCCCTTGGAAATACAACATTTAATATTCTCTAGTGCAGGTAGAGAACTGCCTTTAAAAAAAATCGAGTTGCATTAAACATCTTCACATTAAATACATTATGAAACTTGATACCTGCATGTTGCTAAAATTTAAAATAATAATAGCAACAATAATAATAATGATAATAATAATAAATAAGAAGAGCCTGTATCACAATTAAACTAAAAATACAATAATAGGAAAACAAAGAAGGACAAGAGTTTGCATTTTATTTCTTGAAGAAACCAGTTTTGAATACCACCCTCTATTGGAACCAAAATCGTGCTTTCTCTACAAAAGATAAAGAGTTCTGTAAACAAATCTTAACTTTTTCTGAACATAAAAAGCATTGGGAATTTTCCACAGACAGTTCTTCACCTTCCTACCAGCACTTTCATGCTAAACAAAACTCTGAAAGCAGAGCAACTTTTCTGTTAGGGAAGAAAATACCCAAAAGAGAAGCAGGTTTTTTTTCTTTATATCATATTCATTTTGAAAAAAATGAGTATAGTAATAAAAAAAATTCCATATTGGGCGATACAATCATTATTTCCAGTGATGCCAATTGATTAAGCCTCTACACTTTATATTTCAGAAAATAATACAGCTTATTTGAAAAAATAATTCATTAGGTTTATTCTTCCTTCTGATCCCCAGGCCATAGAAGTAATCTATGCATTAAACGCATCTAATTTCACTAACTGCAACAATTTAATCAGATATATTAACTACAAGACTGTATTTTACAATTTTTCTTCATCTGTACTTTTAAGATTAATTGATCAGTGCTACATCTTGATTAAAAATAACCCTCGAATAAGGCAGTTATAACTAGTTATATCAAAATTTATCATTCCCATCTTAAAAATTTATAATCTGGCATTTACTTTTTTTTTTTTCTTTCTCTCTCTCTCTCAAGAGCCTAAGAGAGAAAATAATTGTTCCTGTACATTTTCCATGTATTCATCACATAACATCCTCCATCAGTCTCTTTTTCAAGAACTCAAATCTCCAGCTCCTTTCCGAATCCTTCTAAGGGCTATAGGAGTGGGTCCCAGTCAAACATGAAAGAAGTTCAACGTCACAGATGCCAATCAGTCACAATTGGTCTGTAGCACTGACTTTTTAATCAAGCTTTATAGAAGTTTAGTCATATAAAACCAGTCTTGGGAAAAAAAAAAACAACCCATAAAGATTCCAGTAAATTTGGGTAATTTGGATGTTCAAGGAAACTGTGACTCAGTTGTGGATATTATACAAGCAGAAAAAGAAACTGTATTCATAAGGTACATGATATGCTTCACTCCAATGAGCAGTAATTAAGATTGGAATGAAATCACAGTATTAGATATAACTTTCAGCTTTAAAGAGAGTTGTCTCTAGATTTAGATTGGACAGATTGTTCTTATTTCTGTTCTTAACACAAATGATTTTTTTCCTCTGTTTAAATTCATCTGGGTGTGAGGAGACTGCTAAAATCATAATGTGATTTCAGAACGAACTCTTGTGATGACCTTACCTCCTTGTATAATTTAATGTTCTAAGGAGCAAAATTTAAACACTGAGGCTCAGTCTACACAAACCTCATCACAGATAGAGGCTATTCCAATACCTAAGCAAACAGATCATCACTGTCTTCACCTCTTTATTCCTCAAAGGTGCTATTCCTCTGTAGTTACAAGATCCCCTTGGAAAATTACTATTACTCTCAAATGAACAAATAGATAGATAGATAGATAGATAGATATGGAAAAGTTACAAACACTTTTATGCTGTGATGTATTTTCAGTCCATTACATCTGGGTCTACTGAGTAAGAAACCACATAGCTACTACCAAGTAGCAACTTACCAAGCTGCTGGTATTTAATATATAAAGTCAAGGCAAATAAACAATCATTTTCCATCATCACTTATAATCTCTCATATTGTCATTCTTCACACAATGTATATAGACAAAGCATTTTAAATAAATCTTCAAGGGAAAAACAAAAACTTGACACATAAAGCATTAGGCACTGAGAGAAGGCTAATCTAATGTCTGTAAAAATCTACAACTTATCCTTTTTGGGGCAATGGACTACAGTATCAGCATTAAAATATTTTTATATATAAACAAAAAGATTTAGCAGCACAAACCTCCCTGAGAAACTCCTCACTGAGAATAATTTCTCAACCAACATCACACCATGGTTGGTAGAGCTCTTGCCAACATTTCAGGTTTTATTCTGTGAATGCTCTCTCCTGTTTTCAAATCCCTAGCACAGTTCTTTCTAATTTGTACTCCCTTCTTACTTGGCATTCAATTTAACAGTTAACACTCTACCGCTACAATTCTATACAGTCACATTTCAATGAAAAAATCTATATATCAATGTACTTCTACTGTTATAGTGTGTAAGAACAGTCTGTAAGATAGACAGTAATATGCTACGAGTAGATTTATAGTATAGGAGTACTTACAGTTAAGACTGCCTACCATCTGTAGGTAGTGGGAACACAAACGTGCCTTTGCTTGCTTGTTCTTTCCCCATTTATTGAAGTCTTACAAAGAAGCTGTCTTTCATTACCAGCCGGAGCACAAATAAAAAGGTTATGAATGCCTTTCATCCTATTCAGAAACCCAGTTCCACAATTAAGTCTTTTTCAGCTGTCAGGTAAATCAGCAGTTTGACACTACAGATACATACAGATACATACTCAACAAATCTTACACACATCTACATTTTAAAGCCGATCATAAAGAAAACCAGAGTTACAAATTAGGCTGCATTTTAATTGCATTTAAGTGACATCGATCTTCCAAAGGTTTCTAAACTGATCTACAAACCTAATGTGATACATACATGCGCTGTGCCACTCAGCACAGAACACTTCACCTCTGCTGAGCAACCGGAGAGGAGACACAACAGTACATTTCAGTGGTGGGGCCACACAGCATGTGGTGGGAGGTCCTGGGACAGGACTGACCTGCTGCCCACATCATTTGGTTTCACTACAGACCTAGTCAGCTTGCTTTCCACAGAACCACCAGTTTCCTAAATGACCAGAGCAGTTTTATGCTAGGTAAACCAAAAATTATCTGATTTCGTTGTTCCATTGAGCAGTTAAGTCAAACATTTCACACTGACACACAGTCTACCTCCCACCAGCTGATTTTTGCTCCTGCAGCCTCAATAGAACTCATCAAAAAGCAATTATGCTCCCTCCAGAAGCTTTCCTTACCCATCCATTTCAATTTATCAAGCTTGTTTTACTTAGTGTTTTTCTGAGCTGTGACTATCCCAGCACTATCCTAGATCTTACCGCTAGCTGTGCTTATTTTTTTAACTAGACTTTGCACTTATATTCTAGGAATCATCTTTTAAAAAAGGAACCAGTAAGGCTCACTATGACTTTGCTTTAATGAAAATGCCTGTGTGGTTACATGAACTGATAAGACACTCATTCATTAAACATCACTATATACCTGTGCACTATAAAACTATTTCCAGCAGCTGCAAAAAAGTAATGGATGTTGTTCCTGGAGTCAAGGCAAAAGTGAGAAAACAAATTCTCAATCCATATTCTGGGTTTAGTGTCAGATATTCAGTGGCTTCTTCTTACTAACAAGGCATCTTCCAAAAGGAAGCTGAAATTCACTGGATGGATGAAGGAGGCAGATTATGAAGGACCCATTTCAACCAATCCCAGATTTATGCGCAGAGTTGAATTAGCCTTTCTGCATGCTTGATTTCCCTTCCCCAGACTACCCACTGCCTGCAGCATCACAGCAGAGATTAGGCTCTGGGACTTGGCAACCTGAAATACTGCACAGGCAGTATCTTCTTTTCCTGCTGTGATTTCTTATGAAAAAGTTTTATTTGGTTCAATGGGCCAAAAGTAGAAAAATCCCTTCAGTGTTGTACTATTTAACAGACATTCATATCCATGCAGATAAATGGAGAAGAGAAAGAAAGTCTTAAGAAAAAATGATGAAAATTCTATTATACTGGAGTTTCCCCTAGTACATAAACCTCATGTCCATTAAAATTACAGAAACATTTTGAACACTACCATCTCTCTCTCTCTCATTTAAGCACTCAGGCTCACTTATGTTTATTTTTTCTCTGATTCAAAACAATTCTGACAGTCTAATTAAAATTACACTCAAGCAAATTTTGAAAACTTTAACATTTTAAGGCTTGATATCCATTAAGATTTTTACAAGAAACTAACTTAGACTTTACCACAGAAGCCATATAGCCGTATTATACAACCTTTTTGACAACCCCTTTTTGACAATTGAAACACACTGGAATTATTTAAATTTTTTCCAGGCCTGTATCTTTCCTGTACAACACAGTAAAACTTCAAACACTAGAATAGAAATTACCATGTTTTTTTTTTTTTAAATTAATGGGATTGAACCATTGCCAAGATGTTCAAAAGTGTACACAGAGCCTTCAAACAGCTGATTACAAGGTCTCATCTGACTCGAAGCTCTTCCTTATACTAATTAAGCAGCATCAGTATAATTCTTCATACTGTCACCAAAGAAAATGCAATACAGTTGATATTAAGTGGTATCCATCTTGGCACTTAGAAGGCAATAAGAGAATGAATGGATATGGAGGTTAAAATCTAGCCAAAGACAAGTCCAGAGTCAGAAAACTGAGATATTCTGAAGAGTCCCAGATCAAAACATCAAGGGACCAAGCAGTTTTCTAAAGCAGATTAATGCTATCTATATTTAATTAAATGCATACAGAAAGGTTTCATTAAAAGAACATTATGAAATTGCAAAGTCTTGCAAGCACTTGAAAGTAAGAAAATGTCAAAAGCAAGGTTGGCCGAGCAACCTTCATTCTGCTCCCTTGGGCACTTGGGTTTGGATACCATACTTATTTAATGATTGCAAATTAATTATGCAAAAGCATAATCTTAATTTGTTTGGTATAGCAGTCTTAATGATGAGCTTCCAGGGCAGCAGATTTTGCGGTATAACCTTAGTTTGATAAAAGTAAACAGTGAGCCCAGAAACTTCCTTGTACAGCCTCTTAGGGAAACTGTCATCATCACAATTCAGCAGACAAAACCACTCTGCCATTTGCACTAGCAGGGCAGCCAACAACTGGAGTAGTCTGAACTGACTCATGGTGGAACACTCTATGCCAATACTCAGGAATCTCAATTTCCCTGTTACTAATATGAAAAGCCTCTAGAAAGCACAGATGGTTTTCTTTTTTTCTTCTTTTTCTGTTTTTTCTTTTTTTCTCCACATTTGTCTATGCCTTGCTCCTTTTTCTGCCTTCTCCTTCACTTCTTGTCCCAGCTTTACAGTTGGATCCCAAGCTTTTTTCCTCTCTTCTTCTGAGCAGTGGGTTCTTACCTTTTTTGCACATCCATTTCCCAGATCTCCAACCTCTACTTATTTCCACACACAGCCCTCACTCAAGAGCTGATGTCTCTCTTCTTCCTGAATCTTCCTCCAGCCACAGCCCTTACTTCACTTGCTGCCCTGGCTCCTTGTTGCAGGTTGGTTGGTTGTGGCAGTGTACTCTCCCTGTGTCAGTTCTGTGACTTTTCTACTTTAACTTGCAAGGGACATATGCCTGCAAACTCATTTGCTGAACAACTGGTCTAATGAAAGATACCATTTCTTCTTGCAAACTTGGCCTCGCTATGAATCTGATGGCTTCCTCCTCTACTTCAGCTAGATGCCAGGAAAGATGAAGGGAGCACAGGAGAAATGCTGAGCTAATTAAACAGATCTACCATTAAATAAAATTAAAACAGTTCTTCAGATGAGGATTTATGCCTTTCTATAGTGAAGTCACTGGATAGTCTATAAAATGCAAACAGTATGTCAGCTTTAACCTTTTCCTCGGCCATATGAGGCAGTGCCCTTGGAATTCCTCTCCAATGTCATAAAAACTTCAAAAAAGTCATTCAAGGTTTTCAAAAAAATCTTTGAGATGCCTAAATTAATGAACTGTGCACTCTAACACTAGCACAGTAAAACAAGTGATGCATTTGGAGAACAGTTTGAGGTCAGAAGGGTGTTTTTATGAGGGGGGGAAGGGCAAGGCAGTGAAAGCTCCTGTGCATGATGTATGTGAATATGTTCCAGGCTCACAACACAATCCCATAGACCCAAGCTAAATTTAGAGACAGTGAATTATTCATTGCAACAGTAGTCAGCCTGGCTTATGCAGACTCTCAGGAACTCAGACCATCATCCCAGACAACAGTAGTTCATATATACACACTTTTTTTCAGATTTGATTTGATCAATTTGATTGATTGTGGGGGGGGAAAAAAAAAGAAAAAAAAAAAAAGAAAAAACCATTGATCAACAAGACAGTCAGAATCCTGTAAAGAGTTACATATTTTTAAAATAGATGAGTTAAAAATATATGTAGCTTACTTGCATCTTTCAATCATACATTTCCATTTACCTCCACCTCCAAGAATGCAGCTGTGTCCATTCAACTGAAATAAGAAAGGGAACAAGAAAAAGAAAAGCCACCAGTACAACTATTAGGACACTCAGACAACTGTGACGTTCAAAGTCCTGTTCAAAGCAGACACTTGAACTGAGATAACAATGGTTCAAGTCCATCTCTCGACCCTGGCAGAAGCATGCTGAAGTGAATGAAAAGGATTACACAAGTCTATGAGAGGGATTTTATGACTTCAGAACTGTGATAATGGAAAACTGGATTGAATGACCAAGAGGTTCCTCCAGCCCTCTGTCCACATGAATATTTCCAAATCCAATTTACACATTTATTTAATACACAGATTATGTTCTAAGCCATTGCCCTTGCAAGCATTAGCACTGAAGCTGTACACAGCACCATTTCAAAGGAATTCCTGTTATTAAAACGCATCTGCATTGCCAACTTTATTTAGCTTAAACATTGTCTTAGAGCTTTGTCACCAGTTTGCCCTAGAGGCTGACACTAATCCTTATACTCAGGGCTGGACTAATTAAAGCAGTGACAAGTACCCCTGGTGTTGTGCACAGGCCATCATGCTACTGAAGATTTCTTTACATGGGAGCCTGTTAGCAATAAGAGGGAGCTGCTAGGAGCAGAGAGGACCGTACGCATCTTGCCCCATAACCCCAAGAGAACCAAGAAATTAATCATCAGTACAGCACAGCACATATTTCTTCAGAACCAGAAGGCTTCCCAAGTTGCCAAAAGGCACTGACTGCTTCTACTTTGCAGTAGAAGCTGACTCCACCTCCTTAAAACGTGTAACAGTTATTCAAAAAAAATACTTATCTTTATCCTTTCTCATGTGATTCTAAACCCCACTTATTTATTTCCTTTACTTGCATTAATAGCTTCTTTGTGGAAAATAAATAATAGAATATACAGTGGATCTTTTTTATTAAATTCTCCACACAAAGGGGATGTGGGTAGAAATACAAACATAGAATAAACATTTGGATGCCTCAGATGGCTAAAACTCATCTGCAGTAAGGCAGCCAGCAATGTGAATACTTATATTATGAATACTTATATTATCATTTATATGTCAGAGTCAAAAGGCCATTGAGTCAGCTGGGGCAGTTCTTCCTCCATGTAAGTACGACTTCAGGAAGGAAAGTAATTCTGCACTGCTTATAGTATATACCTGCGTCTTTAAAATACTCCTCATAGCAATGGATGCTTTTTTTTTTTAGCATGTAATGTAAGCTTTGCACTGAGAGACCAAAATTCTCCAGAGAGAGTTTCTGCAAAGACAAGAGCCAGGCAGTCACTCAGTGAACCGATTCCTTGTCCAGACTTGGGGTCTTCCTGATGATGACGCACAGGATGGGCTCTCTGGCAGAGCGAAGTGCCATCACAGTCACTCCTAAGCAGGCTGTGCTCATTAGGGACTGGATGCAAATGCAACCTGCAAAAGGAGCGGCACACAACATTGCTCAGAGGCACACTCTGCAGTGTGAGGTCTACGTGGGACATTTAGTCCTGGCACATTCGTTTCAAGACTGGTTACGGCTGCCTGTATACTCTTAAATAAGGAGCAGGTTACTTGTACATGGATTTACAAGTGTTGTCACTGCTGAAATATGCATGCGACACCAACAGAGGCTGGTCACTGGTGGTGGTTATGGAGGAGCATACTGTGCTTTGGGGAATGCTCTGCTTTTATTTAAGACTTCACTGTTCTGACTTGAAGGGTAATATATTCTCTTTGTTTACATATCACTGACAGCCGTGCAACATCTTGATACACACCACAAAAAACAATTTTACTTAACAGCACACAAGCAGAGAAGTCTAGAGGTAGGATCAGCCTTGTTCCTCCTACTCTCTCTCATCAGTTCTCCTATATTCACTCTTTTACCATCCTGCAGTTCAAGATGCAGAAAAGGAAGATAAGCCACCTTATCACAAATTTTTCAGACAGTTTGCTTCTTCAGGATTTGAATGAGAGCCTATTTCCCTGATGTCTAATGAAATTTGCCCTGGTAACTCTTCAGGAATCAGAAAACAGAACCAAAACATTCGCAGGATGCTAGTGGCAACTGCATTCTTTACAGCCTAAATTCTAACAAAAATACTATTGCTCGCAAAAGATTCTTACATACTAAGACTATCTGTACATTAATATGTTCAATATCATACTAAGAACATCAAAGGATCACCCTTTACGTAAACAGTTTTATAGGAATTTCTTTTCCTTTTTCCCAGGTTTTTTTGTTTGTGACTGAAGCCACTAGAAGAGGTGATGCTCAGTAAAGCAGTCTGATAAAAAGTTATCATTTACAGTGTGCAAGATGAACTTGCCAAGCAGAGACATATTAAGAGACTGTATGTGACAATCCTGGAAGAGTGAGAGAAAACAAGCTAACTTAAATGCAACAAGAAGTATTTCTTTTAGGAATAAAAGACCGTTCCTTTCTTTACTGAAGGATACTCTACACCATAAATGTTGCACCAGCTGACCTAAACACATGCACAGCTCAAAAAATATAACTCCTGAACAAGACTTACTATGTGTGTTTTGTTTACCATATGTATTACATTAATCATGCATGTTATGTCACATTCAGCTTTGCATTTCCACATTCAAATACTGCTTATAATCCATTCTATTTTACCTCCAGATTTGTTACAGGCAATTTTGCTGCATGTCTCAATGCAGTTATGAGTTTGGTACCCAGGGAGTGACTGGTGGCAGAGATGTGCTGCAGTACTTGCAGGAGAAGCCAGTCAGGAACAGCAGCACGTCCACCCAA